TGGCACCCAACATTATATAGTTCTTTGGGGACACCTCTGATAGATGAAACAGCTTTTTTCTGGAGGCAGTAGGATCTTTGAGGAGGTGTTTCACAATCTAATCTTCCAGTAACACAGAGCATTCCCAAGGGAGGTTTTTCATCATCCATTTTCTCCCTCTCAAGAAGCGAAGTAATCAGAAAGAGTTTTTGATACCTTCACTGTCCTTTTTTCCTAATCCTGTTCAATTCTAGAAAATCAAGGTTTCTCTGTGGAGGTTTCTCACAGTCCTAACTCCCTTCCAGCCGTACAAGCAGAATGTTTAATGAAAAAGTTACTCATGGCCTAACCCACCATGTCTGAGATGGGAGAATATTTTTAAAACTTGTTCACACTGAGGAAATGCAGTTTTGTGATAAAGATGTTGCTTCTTTCCTCAGATGTTTGGGGTAAGAGAAAGTGTGATTTTCTTTGTAGACCAGTTTCACATTAACATCTCAATTTTTGATTATTTTTAACGTTACAGTTAAAGGCAAAGTAGACAGTCAAAAAGCCCGAGGCTGAATTGATTCAGTTTTTGCATGTTAATTTAAGCTGCAGAGATTAAACTGAAACAGAAGTGAACAGATATTTACCTTTGATTCAGAAAATACAGCCACATGCTGTATTTCATATTCAGCACGGAGGTGGAAAAGGATCTGGGAGTCATTATTGACTCCCAGATGAACATAAGTTGGCAATGTGGGGAGGCGGCTAGGAAGGCCAACTGCACCTTGTCGTGCATCCACAGATGCATCTCGAGCAGGTCCAAGGAGGTGATCCTCCCCCTCTGTGCGGCACTGGTCAGGCCGCAGCTGGAGTACTGCGTCCAGTTCTGGGCGCTGCACTTTAAGAGGGATGTGGACAGCATGGAGAGGGTCCAGAGGAGGGCCACTCGCATGATCAAGGGACAGCAGGGTAGGTCCTATGAGGAAAGGTTGCGGGACCTGAACCTGTTCAGCCTTCAAAAGAGAAGGCTGAGGGGGGATCTTGTGGCCTGTTATAAACTGGTTAGGGGGGATCAGCAGGCGCTGGGGGAGTCCCTGTTCCCCCGAGCGCCGCAAGGAGTGACCAGGAACAATGGTCACAAGCTGGCGGAGGGAAGGTTTAAGTTGGACATCAGGAGGCGCTACTTCACGGTCAGGGCGGCTAGAGTCTGGAACCAGCTTCCAAGTGAGGTGGTGCAGGCTCCCACCCTGGGGGTTTTTAAGAGGAGGTTGGATGACCACCTTACTGGGGTCATTTGACCCCAGTGCTCTTCCTGCCATGGCAGGGGGTCAGACTAGATGATCTGCTCAGGTCCCTTCTGACCCTAGAAACTATGAAACTATACCTGCAGTGGCTCAGGCCAGAAGCTGGGGGGCACTAGAGTACAGCTGTCTGGCAAATAACCAGCATGGGCTGTGAGTTTGCTTTCTCTTCTTGCTGCTCCTGAGGTCTCTAGAATTTGCAGTCCAAAGTCACAGCTGCAGGACTCTGCAGGAGTGCTTATCATTTCCTTTTCCAGGTTCCAGGTGCCTTTGGGATTTGTAGTCCACAATCACAGCCAGCAGTAAGTTTGAGTGGGGGAAGGAGTATTTAACCCTCATCCCTGGCCCCAGACGCCAGCCAGGTTTTGCCTGGGGAAACAGTCCCCGGCTGCAGGCTGAGCTGCATCCCAGGCTGGGCTTGACTCCCCTCCCCCCCCAACCCTCTTGTCAGACAGCCCTCACTGCTCCAGCAGGAGCAGCCCAGGGCTACAAAACGTGCTGGGATGCTGGGGGACTGATTTAACTTGAACCAGGAAGGGGTCTGGGACAGAAGTTTCATAAACTGGTTTGACCCAAATTAGTTTAGTCTGATACTCCATTCAACCACGTTTATCTTAAACCAGTTTCAGCCATTTTGAAATTGGTTTGTGTGCACCGAGCTTATGTTCTGTTAAATGTTAAACCAGTTTCTGATCACCTAAACCAGTTTATGTGCAACTTATGTCCCTAGCCGAAGTGACTTTTGTACATACATATAGAGAGAAAGCAAAAGAGTACATGCATGGGACTGTTTTGGTGATAGCAATATTAACATTTGTATAGGCCTTGAAATAGCCTTGCCATTGCATAAGGAAGACAGCAAAAGAAAATACTTAACTGTAAATACTTCACTGCGTAGAGCTGTGTTAGCCTGAAGTCAGGCAGAAGATGAGGCAGGGTGGTACACTAAAGACTGATTGATTCAGAGAGGCATGAGCTTTTGTAGGCAACAGCCTTCCTCATTAGATATTAGTAGGCTGTTGCCTACAAAGGTTCATGCCTCTCTGAACCAGTTAGGCTAAGGTTGTGTCCAGACATGAAGGCATATGTGGTTTGTGGCACTGTAAACTGCATGTGGGGAATGTGAAAATGTGTCCCATGCTGCAGATTTGTTACCAGGAAAGACTCTTCAAGGAACATCTCCACTCCTGTAGTTATGCCCTGGCTCCTCCAACACACTGGGAGCTGGGAGCAGCTGGGCAAGGGCACTTTGTCCAAAGCAAGACAATTTGTCCCTCACCAAAGCGCATGTGGAGGGCCGTGTGATGCAGCAAAAGGTAGTGGCACAAATTTGTGCCACTACAATTTTTGCTGCTGCTAGTGCATGTCTCTACACATCTGATTGTGATCTAAGGTGCCACTATGCCCTGCCCTCTCTCAGATATTTCTCTGTACATATTTCAGAGTAGAGTAATGGCTAAACAGTAGGCCATAAACCTATAATAAAAAGGAATTCCAAGCATTAACATCACACAAAGGATGATTCTGTTACGTGGGGAGATTGGCTCAAGTTCTGGAGTTGGGATCTGTATTCACTTCTGACTGTGAAGGTCCCTAAAGTTTGAAGACGGTTGAATCCCTTTCTACTTGTCATTTTCCATTTTTCCCCCTCGTATTCTGCCAGGAACTTTTAGAGTTCGTCACTTTTCTGCATTCATCAAAGTGCTGTCCCAGAAACATCTGGTTTAAAGATCTGCCAGTTTACTGTATAAATGTAACACCACTCTTTCTTCCTCAATTTTGTTTTAAATAAAATATTGGCTCCTCCGATCACATCTAACTAGAGAAGCTGAGATGTGGGAAGGCGGGGATACTTTATTTTCTTTCATGTGAATTGAGCACAGAATGCAGATATGTACCTGGTCTGTGAAGTTAGATACAGTAATCATTATTGTCCCTTCTGGCAAGTTGTTTGTAAAATCCCCTTAAAGGAGACTTTAAAAGCAAGGTCAATACAGAATGGAATTCCCCTTAATGTTCTGTATCAGTGCTTTAGGTGTCTGTTGTTTGATAAGCTGAAATCAAGGTTTATGCAGCTGGACACTATTTCCAAACTACTTCTGTTCTTTGAGCATCTTTAATTTTTTAATTGAATGCCCCAAATTGTGCTATCTATTTTTCCAACAACCTTGGTATGTAGATTTCCATTTACACCCTTGTTTCTCAACAATATCTGGTTGTCTAAAATGCCAAATATGGATGCAACGCTGTTCATGTCTGCTGTTATAGTTTATCGGTTCTTGTATCCCCTAATGGATTGATTTGTGGGCAAGGAGTAAGGCGACTTAAAGACCACAGGTACAAATATGAAAACTGTCTTATATGTTAAAGCAGCATGAGATTTGAGCTATACTGATATTTCATTTTTCCTTCTTAGTCTTTCCTGCTACACCCCCAAAGCTCATTTGCTTTTAGGAATACAATTGCTCAATTGTGTATGGAGTTTTAGGGTTTGGAAGGCTGATCAAGTTCATATATCTTTTGTGTGTATCTTTTTGGAAAAATTGTTCTAAAGTATTTAATTAGTTCACTTAATAGGGTTGAAAACTTAATGGCTTCATTTGCAGAGGTGATGGACATATGCAGTTGCTATGTAAGTCAATAAAACTGTGGGTGCTCAAGGCTTTTGGAAAATTAGGCAATGTATTCATATGCTAGAAGCAGGTAAAAGATTGAATTTCTAATTGGGAACTTTTGGAAGTATTTCTCAGGATAGGGACAGACATTCAAAAAGCCTGAGCTTGAATTGATTCTATCTTTGCAGGTTAGTGAAACCTAGCTAGGCTAAATCACTTTGTAACTGCACAGACATCCTAGACATGCAGGCATATGCCTGCAGTGGCTCAGGCAAGAAGCTGGGGGTGCTAGAGTAGCCTTCCCTTCACTTCCCTTCCCTTCCAGAATCCTGAGCAGTTTGACCCAAAGTAGTTATGTCTGATACTGCATTCAACTAGGCTTATCTCAAACTGGTTTCAGCTATTTTCAAATTGGTTTATGTACACTGAACATCTGTTCTGTTACAGGTATAAACCAGTTTCTGATCACTTAAGCCAGCGTATGTGTAATGTCTGCCCCTAGCCTCAATCTTCTGGTTGGGTTCCACCCAACCTGTTTCAGTTTTACAATACAATAATTTATTTCAGTTCTACAGTAAGAGGATGCAGAAATTGTCTCAACTTCAGAAATTTTATCAACAAACATAACCTCCTGTAAAATAGCTGTCATTCAAAATGGAACTGGGAATTCCTGTGTGCAATGAATCAGCTTTGGCAAGTGAAATAGATGTTTCTGGGGATATGTGATGGCCTCATGTTTGATTGATTTTTTTTTATAGTAAAAGGTAATAAAGAGAATAGCTGCTGTAGCCAACTTATTGCCAGAATACTCTGTCACATGATTTTCCAGAGGTACTATTTTGTCTTTGTGTTTCTCTCTCAAAAGCAATCTGTATTTAGAAAGGCCCTGATCCAGCATACAACTCACAGTTTTAATGTCAATCTTACCAGGATTAGGGCCTTATGTTTTTTAATTTCTGGTTTTACCATTTCCGTAGACCTCAAGTAAGAGTTTAGTAAGGGATAACCCTTTTATCCCTATATTTATTAATTAGTTGCTATCATGGTAGTCCCATAGTTCCCTCTCAATGCAATCACATGATTTGATGAAGCACCATGTTTATGTTTGTTTTTTCAGGAAACCATGGATGATTCTCAAGTAGCTGGAGTCTGTGCAGCAACAGAAGTGATTCGCTATGAGTATCATATCTTGTATTCCAGCAGCTACCAAGTACCTGTTTTGTACTTTAGGGCATGCTTTCTAGGTAAGATTTGTTATATGTAAGACAAATAGCAGAAGAAGCATATTCTGGGGTGAAATGGAATCATACTGACATAGATTTTGTATTGAACATGGGAAGAGAATAGTGATTGTGCATAATAAGAAAATAAGAGATGGGGCTACTCACTAGTTAATTTTCTGATACAAATAGATACTGTACATCAGGACCTTGGAGTAGATGATATCATCTCAGCCTGAGGAAGGTTGATCTTTGGCTCCTGGCATCATGCCCATGGTTGACTAAACCTGCTGGACGTTTTTATTTTCCTTCTCTTTAAAATGAATACAAAGAACTTAAAGCTACAGAGCCAAATTCAGCTGTGGAATAAATAGACACAACTCTGACATCAATAGAGTTGTGCCTGCTTTCTCCAGACTATCACAGTGTTTAGGTCAGCTTTTACATTTAAAAGAGTATGCTGTCTTCCCATCTATTTAAAATATTCTTTAAAAAATAAACATTAACTTGTTTTAGCCATTTTAAACAGTGCTTTAAAACTGGTTCTTCCAGGATTTTTTTTACCTTTATCTTGTCACCCACTGTCCAGCTGTTAACGATACTGTGATTTCACTCACTGTCCTGTCAGGAAGGTGGAACACATTATCTGTCTCTTTGGCCACTGTTAGTTGTGCTTATTTAATCTGCAAACATAGTAGTGTAACCAGACTGCAGTAGTGTCCATGCTCCTTCACTCTCTGTCCAAAAGATTATGTATCCAGGGTGTGGGGGTTGGAATTCTCCAGCCATTTCTAAACTTGATTTTCTCCATGGCAGCATCACCAGCTTTTGTGTTTTGATGATCTCCTTACTTTATCTAGATAAAGACATCTGAATGTTGCCAGTGATATCTTTTTCTTTTTAATTAAAAAGTAACTTAAGCTGTGTTGAATGTATTTGGTAGATTCAGTCACTCATTGCCTTATATTGTTTAATGGTTTCTAATTTTGCAATGTTAGCAGTTTAACAAGCACTTTAGATTTAAAATTGAAGAATAAATTCTCAGACTCCCTAGTGAAAAAAAATTAGTCTGAGGTGCAGTTTCAAGTATTTGGCAATTTGGGGTAAGTTTTCGAATTGGAGTATGGAGAATTGGGGACACATCTCTGTGTCTGTTACCACTAACAGATCACTAATTCACACACCACCATGTTGCAAATTTATTCCTAGGATTATTACAAGCATTTACAAATGTGCAATATTCTGATATTAAACTTGTTGTGCAGATGACAGAAGGATATAGAAACTTTAGCTGCTTCAAAATAACAGAGTAGGAGACAGATGAATTTATTTGTGATGCTGAAAAATATCATCTTCCTGGGTTTAGTTGAATTAGCAGTTTACCTTCTCTATGCAGGAGGGTGGTATGATGCTGCAGGTAGAGGAAATAGGACACTATTTCTACAGTACTGTACTTTCATATAATTAGTATTCACCATAAGCAGTTAATCACCAGAGAAGAGCTCCCAGAGACAAAACAAGTTGTTTAGCTTGTCAGCATCAGGGAACGGGAGGTGTTGAAACATGATTCCTTATAGCTGAAAGTGGATCTCACAGAAGCTAGTGGATGATCTAATGCACAATCTTAGTATGATATGCCAACAGCTCCCCTTGCAGTACACAACTATAATTGTTCCTACAAGTATAATTATGTTTTAAAACACTTCTTGGGAGTTTTTCACAATGAAAATAAGGTGGTGGTCTGGGGAGGGTAATGTGCATATGTGTATGTGGATTATGAAGTCCTACGAGTGTCTCTGTATCACTGTTAACATGTTTCTCTCTTTGGTCCATTTAAAGATGCACTGATACAAATACTGATAACCAATAGTCTTTGCAAGAGAATATTTGATTAGTATCATAGCTTGTATTTTCATACTGTGTAGCACAGTTTCTAGATATTGCAAATCCTTCTGTTTCTTCAGATCATTTACTCACTGCCCATTTAGAGCTGTCTAAAGACCCTAACGTGATATTTTGGGGAGTATACGAATCACTGTAAACAGAGACACCCTTTCACTTTAAACTGCTGCGACAAGTTTACTTTTTACTTTGCATAGACCTCATATGAAGATGATTCCAGGCAGTGTCCTGATATTTTCACCCTTTCATTATGATGCTACTGTTTTTCCTTTGATAACTCTTTGCCTTTTGTCTCCAAACAGTCACTATTGTTTACCCCATCCCTTTGCAAAGTTGCATGGGAGACCTACATCAGGTTCACTGAATAAATAACTATTACTGTGTATAGATAGGTGATGGGAACAATTCTTTCCCATTTGCTCTCTCTCTTGCTTGCTCCAAGGTCCTTCAGGATCAGGGCTAGAGGAATCTCAAATCTGGAAGCAGGCTTTTTTATCTCAGCATACTTTCATAAACATTTTAAGTTGAAAAAATCTTGAGTGTAACACTGATCTTGATGAACCCAAAATCTTGGCATTTGAAAAAAATGTCGAACTCCTCCAGCGTAAAAAAACATTCTTAGAAAATGATTCTGATTCCACAGCGTTCTTCCCTGATCTTTCATTTCTCTCCATTTTGTTATAACGTATCTCAAATGCCCTATGTTATCACAGTTGTCTGGTGTAGGTGGACTGAAACCTGTCAGTGTTACACCTTATGCCACCCAGAATATGTTGCAAGGAATAAATATAAGCTATAACCCTTCCAGGATCTGGACCACATTGCTCACACAACTCTACCCTGCCTTACAGCAGGGGACTGGGCAGGAATCCCAAACTCTGATTGCTCACTGGCAGTGTGTTATGTGGCCACTGGAACTCCAGGCCAGTCTATGAAACAATAATTTTTCTGTTCAATTTGACTGTTAAATAGTTTTTCATATTTTGTGATATTCATGTGCTCTTCTTCATGCTACACATTATAACAGTGCCTGGTACTAGCCTGCCCAACACTTGCAGTCCACAAATAGAGTATTCAAAAACACTTGTTTAGAACAGTTAAATCTTTAGTATCCCATTGTACAAGATTCCAGTTTGGACAGACTTACTCTGTTGACTTCACCACCCAAAGATATTCTTCTCCAGGAACTGCTTCAGGATCCTCAAATTGGATGTCAGCCTTGAGAGCTGTTGTTCAGCTTTACTCAGATCTTCAAGTGTGATTGAGCTGAAACATGAAAAACAGTTCTTTCAGAGGAACTAAATTTGGCCTGTGTCTTCAATTCCAACTTTATTCCAACCCTGAATCAGTCTATTGGTCTCCTGGAATTCTTTCTGAAACTCTGCTCTGCTTTCTGAAACAAGGAGTTTGAGTCCAGATTTAGGAAGACGTTTAAATTTATTGTAGTCTTTGGAAATTAGTATTACAGCATAAGCCTAGTTCTGTGGTGTAGCAGGGAGGGCAAGGACTGCAGCTAGAAAGAATGACTAAATATGATGCCTAATGCCACTCTCAGAAAGATGTCTTTAAGAGCATAAGGGAACCTATAGAGAGATACTATCCCTCTGAGATAGTAAGTGGCTTCTGATACTTCTCAGGCAAATGATCCCTGATAAGAGAAGCAAACATTCCCAGATGGAAAGTAGTAGGAAGCCAGGGAAACAGACTTCCCATCTTCTCAGATTCAACCTTCTACTTGGTTTTTCTTTTGTAATTGAGACTTTTATCTTCTCTCTAGTTGCTGAGGCTACAAAAAAAGGAGTCTTCTAGAAATATGTGAGCTGTTGTAGATGTAGACAGTTGACAGATAGTGTCACCAGTTAGTTTTCTTATTTGATGCTGGTATCCTCCAGATAGGCTAGGTTCTCTCCAGTAGGGTTTTGTTAATCAGGTGAGTATTTTCTCCTTTCCTTAGCTTTCAAGATGTCTCCAAGAGACATGTATCCTCGGAGTAGTTGCCTGCAGCTCCCAGGAACCCACACCATGTATCCAAACAGTTCTTGAAACTACTTATAATGAGCTGACAGCAACACAGATACACAGTGGGCATAGAAATCACTCACGGAGTGCCCTGATCCTCAGGAAAAGAATGGTTCAGATCACCCACCACTTCTTCCTCCCGACACCCAGGGGAGAAATCATTAGTGTTGGCTCTGAAGCTGCAGAAGGAGGAACATAAACGTGTGCTGGTGAGAGGTAGCAGAGACTGCATTTTCACCCTCTTAGTGAAGGCAGAAGGAGCAAGGAAGAGCAGTTTTTTTTAGCTGATACCTTAGACTTTGTATCACAAAAATGTGGGTCCCTGTAGTAAGGCCATAGTGATCAAAGGTTAAAAGGGGAAAGCCTAGAAGTTAGTCAAAGTTCCTTACAACTTTAAGGAGGGCTTTCTGTTTAAGCCTTAAACCATACTGAAAGTAGCACTGAATGTGACCCAAAGAGCTTGTAGAATCGTTGCTCTGAAAGAGGCACTTCAGTCTTGCTTTATGAATCAAAAGCAAGTGGACCACTATTTCCCCCTGGAGAAGAGTGGTCACAATTATGGGACAAATACAGCATCAGGTTCCTATAGGTTGTACTATGGGAAGGGCCCAGAAGAGCCCCCACACTCAGCCACAAGAGACTTGAGACCTCTAAATTCTCTATACATTTTCTAGAACAGCATTTCTCAGCCTGTGGGTCACGACCCAAAAAAAGGTTTGCAGGAATATGTCAAAAGGGTTGTGAACAAATTTTAAAAACAGATTCTCCTTTAAAGGAGACTGTGGCTTTTCTCTTGCAGGCTGGCAGAGTTCACCCCTAACCTCCTTCCCCCATGCCCCACACATGAGCAGACTGGGACCTGGGGGTGGGGAGCAGCAGGTTGGGAGTGAGGGGCACTGGGTCGGGATTGGTCACTGATGTTTACGAATGGGTACTGGTACAAAATAGTTTGAGAACCACTGCTGTAGAATCATGAAGTTGCCTTCTTTCTCTTTATCAGGTAGTACTGTTTCTATCTGAGATCCCAATGCTTGATTGCTTCTTCCTTTTTTTTTCATCTCCTCATTTTCCTCTTCCAGCGTAAAGGAGCAGGACTGTCACCT